AATAGCGGGCGATAAATTTTCGTGCAACTTCATTGACTGACTTATCAACGAAAAATCATCAAAATTTTGGTGAACACAACGGATATGTGAGATATGAACCTGCCAAACGCCTCATTAATATTTACCTAAATGTCTATCAACGGGATATGTTTTGAGTTCTAGCAACAAAAAAACCCCATTGAATCTCTGAACTTGTATTGCAAAGAACGACTACTCGACCTGTAACATTCCATGACCAAATCGATACGCAGCTGTCGTAAACACATTCGAAATTGTCGGGTCAACATCAGGTTTGTACCCTTCATACGGTCCTATATGTACAGACATTGAATTACCCAGTATTTTCGGCAAAAATTCTTCATAAACTATATTTTGTACCTCAGCTCCAACTATTTTACGTGTCTCTTGAAAGATGCGATCGCCTGACCAATGCTGATTCAAACGATGCAAAGCAGTTGCTATCCTATAAAAATGATTCATTAGAAAAGATACGGAAATGCATGGCCGCAATAACAATGATGACAAATACACAACAACCGAACAAGAATAACAAATGAACCTGTTATGCTCCCTAGTAAACAGTATATGCATTGAAGATAAACCAATAAACAGATTAACACGTATATCTCCAGCCGTGAAGGTTGCCTTACAGCTACTTTTCGAGGCGCATTTCGACTGATCGAATGGTAATACCTTAATATCAATATCAATTTGTACACAGATCAAATCGTCAACCAAAATCACTCAACTGATAATGTTCACTTCACATTTCTGTAAGTAAACATTAATCAGTGACATTCGTGCCCCATCAATATTTAACTAAATGTTTCGTTACTGATGTTTAACTAAATGCACGAAGGGCTACTGAAAATATCCAAAAACAATAACATCAATTTGATAAGCGTAAGAAGACATAAATAATATTGAGTAAAAGCGCATAGCGAACGACGGAAATAAATACCATTTGATTGTTAAATCGACTCATCTTCAAAAAACCCGTAGTGCCATCGCGGAATTTATGTAGATCCTTCGAAGAGGAGCCGTATAGAGGTGAGGCGTCAATGAATGCCGTATTCTCATTCAGTTGTTCTCGTTTAATCCGATTCTCATTGGTGCCACAAACTGGTGCTGATCGTGAGATTTTTAAGCACAGTTTCTTTTTGAATCTGCAAATTGCAACTGAATCGCATGTTGCTTAGATTAAAATGGAAAATCAACAATGAAATTACTGATGACAGAATAAAAAATATCGAGAATGCAATATTTCATCTCAATATATATCACTAATCTCAATATACATCCCATTATAATCTTGTGATTTCTGAACGCCGTTTCTTCCTGAACCTAGAACTGGTACTTCTTTACTTCACGAGCGCATTGACCAGGATGTTTCATCGGGAAGTGAGGATCCCATCCCATAAAGAAAAATGTTCCTCTATAAGTTTGCTCAGCCAAATTTTTGGTTGATGCCCTATCTTCTAATGAGTTACTGACGAGGCCCTCTACTGACATATATCCACTGCAGCCGCTGATTATCAATCCAATCATAAATGCGATGGGAAAGCGCTATGCCTGGTGGAGCAAAATGCGAAATGCGAATGAAAATTATTGTGAGTTGAGTAGTTAGAAAACAGCGCTTGAATGCGTTAGAACGGATAAACTTTGCGATCTGACTTCAATGCATTTGCATTTTTCAAAGCATGCAACATGTGATAATATTCGTTAGGCTACATTCAAATTTTGATCAGGGACCGACCGCATTTCAATGCAATTCAATTGAGCCGTGTTCGATGCTTTGCTCACGTTCCATATCAACCAAACACTTATGATTTTAGAAGAAATCAACATGACTAATCAATTGACCACCA